CCCCCCCCCATTTTGGGTAGCCAGTGTCCAAGTTGCCCATCCTCGTCTACTCTGTGTATGGAGGGGGTGGGAATGCTCCTCGCTGTAAAGATTAGTTCCCTCTTTTGAGCTACTGCTTCCATAGGTGTAGGTCAAGTTCATCAAATTGTATCAAATTACTCTTTTTTTTTCCTTCTTTCTTCTTCTAGTTTAGCTCTGATCATCCAGTCATTAAAGCCAGTTCAAGTGGGTATTATCTGCAAGTGTGGGTGTTCTTGTGCATATGCCCTCTCTTCTTATCAGCTGGACGCTTCACTCTCTACTCTAGTCCTCAGTGTCTATGTCACTGACTCTGGGCCCAAGAGTCCCCAGGTCTTGCCACACTGCTGGCCAACTAGGTCTCCACCCGGGTTTTATAGGAGTCGGTGACGAACGTGGTCACAAATCAGAGTGCATGTCTGCTCATGTTTTCCCATTGAGTCTTAGTCTTGGAAGGGGGTTTGCCCTGAGGGGATCTTACCACTTGCCTTGATGTCTCCTGGGCAAGCAACTTGCTTGTTCTTGTAGTAATCAGTTGGACTGCCGTTATTGTTTTGTATTTTTCCTGTTGGTTGTCAACAAGCTTTTGTATTCCCTTATTAAAAAATGTTTTAGGCCGAACTGGGAGCCACAAATGCACTGCTGTCTTCACTTCTTCATCAGAGAGGAGTCTTCATCCTTCAAGGGCTGTTTTCAGGGAATCAAACAGGTGAAAGTCCAATGGAGCAAGATCAGGACTATAGGGAGAATGCTTTAACACCTCAAAATGAAGTTTTTGCAGTGTCAAGAGTGTGGTCACAGGTGGGCTGACATGCATTGCCATGCAAGATCACAAGGCCCTTGGATAGCAGTCTTCTACATTTAATCCAAAGCTTAGGCATGTCACTGCCATGAGCTCTGTTGATTGCTTAATTTTTTTCCAGGTACTGTTCCAATATTGGCCCTTGAGAATCCCAGAAAACTATAAGCATCAATTTTCCAGCTGATGGTTGGCTTTTGGAACTTTTTCTTAATCGGTAATTGAGGATGTTTCCATTCCATACTTTGCTGTTTATTCTCAAGCTTGTAGTAATGAATCCATGTCTTGTAACTAGTAATGATTTTTACCTTCCTTTAAGTATGAGTCCAAAATTTTGGTTGCAGATGTCTAAATGCATGTTTATGCTCTTCCGTGAGTTCTTTTAGTACTCATCTTGCACAAACTTTTCAAAACCCAAATCTCTGGATTATTTAATAGGCAGAACCATGCCTGATTTGAAAATGATTTGCCACATAATCTACTGCTACTTTTCTATTTGACAGAGTCATTTCAAATGCATGCTCAATGCTGTCATCAGCCGTGGATGTGGATGGGTGTTTTAATATACCCTGAGTATGAATAATTTTTTACTCACCTTTATATATATATGTATGTATATACCTCACAAATATAAAAGAGTTTAAAAAAGTATACTTGTACATGAGTAACCACAGGGAGGAAAATGCTGTTGATGAAGGGGATTGCAATCATTGAGATGAAACAAAGCATGTGATTTGTTTAATGTATAACTGATAATTATGTGTGTAAACTTTTACTCAAGTCACAATAAAAAGAAAGAAAGTAAGAAAGAAACAAGGAGAGAGAAAGGGTCATTGGCTATGGTGAAATGAGTGGACATATCAGTCCTGGAGAGTGTGCTGCCAAGCTCTGAAGAAAAAAATGGGGGATGTGGGAGAAGCAGGAGACACTAGGCGAGCATTGTAGGTGCCCTTGGTGGAGGCCCAGCAGAGTCTGTGTCAAGGCAAAGTCAGTCTTAATGAAAGAGTGTAGACAACTCTGGGTGATAATCAGGAATCTTGGAATCTAGGCCAGGCTGGAGAAAAGAGGTTGGAGACATGATGTGCTAACCAAGGGGAAAGGAGAAGAGCAAAGCCAATCTTGGGAAGATTCCTCAAGGACATAAAGTCAGGAAGTTGCCACTCAGCACCCCTTGGTGAGTACCCAGGTGCCTCCAGACCTTTAGCCTCCCTCTCCACTGACTCTCACCCTCAGATTCCGTGACTGTCTTCATTATTCTGGTCTCTGAACAAATGACAACACTTCCTCAGAGAGGGAGGCCTTTCCTGACCACTCATCTATGTTGCCCCTTCTCCCACTGTCCTCCATTATATTGTTGTTGTTGTTGTTGTCATATTGTTGGAGTTGGTTCCAACTCATAGCGACCCTATGTACACTAGAATGAGACACTGTCAGGCCCTGCTCCATCCTATGGGATCGTATTCCTTTTATAGCTCCAACTGCTACAGACATTATCCTGTTTATTTCATTTCTTGTTTATGGGCTGATTGCCCAGTGGCCTCCACTATATTGTGAGCTCCATCAAAGCAGGGAGTATATCTGTCCTTTTCACCAATGCACTTGCAGTGTCTAGAAGAGTGCCTGGTACATAGTAGGTGTTCAGAAAGGATCAATTGAATGAATCTATCTAGGCAGCCTAGCCTGACCCTAAACACTGACCAGAGTCCAGAATTGGGGTTGGCCTCCCTGACCGTGCTAAGAATGTTCTACAAAACACTCCAGACTGGGCAAAGATAGCTGTAGAACCTGAAGACTTGAGATTGTGAGGGTACAAAAAGGAGCCTGGGATTTGTGTCTTCCTCTCCAGAGAGTCTCCTGTAGCCTCCTTATTCTGGGGTCATTTAGGTCCTGGCTGATCACTGCAGAAGGGGACAGAAGGTCCAATGAGTGACTCACCCTGTTGTTGCCTGGGTTACTGGTAGGAAGATTCTTATAAGAAGCTAGGAGGCTGGGAACTGAGATTCCCATGGGATCTGGAAACTGAAAGAGGGGTTAACAGTTATTGAGAGGACTGAAGATTGAGAGATGGAAGCTGAGGGTTGGAGCCCCAGGGCTCCCCAAGGGGCTGGGAGTTTTGGGCTAGGACATCAGGATTACCCAAAAGACTGAGAACCTGAGAACTGTGAGCTGGGGGTGGGGGAAGGGGGAGGGAGGGAGAAGCTTGGGCATAAGGGTTTCCTGGGGACTCAGGATGAGGCAGGAGGGTTGCACAAGGAAAGACTAGGGTACCAGGATTCTCAGGGTCTGGTGTCTGAGGGCTCTTTCATCGTATTTTTGGAGGACAGAGTTATTCCTGAATTTGTCTGTTCTTCCCAGGTGGGACCAGCACAAGTCAGTTCTTGTTTAACGGAGTAGACACAAATTCATCTGGGTATGCAGCAAGTGGACCAGGAGGAGGATGGAGGCAGCTTTCTCCCTCTATTCCCTCCCTTTTTCTTTTTTTTTTTCTCCCTGCAGCCTCCACCCCTTTTCCCAGAACCCCTGCCCCCATCTCTCTGTGACCCTCTCACGCCCCCTGCTGATCCTTCCCTGGACAGCAATGACCAGTCCAAAGGGCAAGATCAGCTGAGACAACAAAATCCATCTCTTTCCTTCCATCCTAATCTCTAGGGACCAGCCTTGGAGGGAAGACGCTGAAGTCCTCAGGAGAATGAATGCTGGGGGAGAAGGTGGGTTCCAGGCTCCCAGAAAGTGAGCTATATCTGATTCCCCGAGAGAGTGTATGTGTGTAGGTATGTGTGTGTACGCATGTGTAAAGTTCCTGTGTGGTGCAAACAGTTTGGGCTGTGATGGCTAAATACTTTCAGGAGGAATAAAAGCCTGGCAATCCATTGTTATAAAAATGATAATCAAGAAAATCTGATAGAGCAGTTGTACTCTCTAATACATGTAACACTAAGTCAGATTTGACTCACTAGCTATAGGTTTGAATGGTTTTGGGGGGATGGTATAGGTGTCCATGTAAGCTGAGATCTCATCTAAAATGAATGGACATCCGCCTCCCCCATGAGACTGTGAGCACCAAGAGGGCAGGAACTAGGGTTGATTTTGTTCAGTATAATTCAATGTGCTTGACATATTGCAGGTGCACAGTAAATATTTATGGAATAAATGAACAAGTGATAGTCACAGATAATCAAAGTGATACTGAAAGTAAGTCTTAGGTGGAGATTTTGTTTTTGCCAAGGCTCTGGGGAACAGTTGTGAGTCCAGATGTCCTGGCTTCTGATCAAGGATTGGTCCATGTCCAGCTTCTGGCCTTGGACCTAAAGGCCATCCAAGCAAAAGGAGGCAGAAGAGGCCTCTCCTAGAGGGAAGTGAGATGGAAGTAGCCTTGGGGTTGGTCCAGAAGCTCCTCCCATTTATCCAATTCTTCTAAACTAAATTTTCAACTACCTTCCTCCCACTGTCCCTGTATCCTCTCCTTCTGGCACTTTTCTTCTTCCAGTTCAGAGGTTCCCTTTTCCCTCAAAATGTTCCCCTTCCCACTCTCTTACCTCTCTTTAGCTGTTTCTAGTGGTATGGTGTTGCTGTTGTTAAGTGCCTTGGAGTTGGTTCCAACTCATAGCGACCCTATAAAGGGTTTCCAAGGAGCGACTGGTGGATTTGAACCACCAACCTTTTGGTTAGCAGTCCAGTGCTTACCCTACAGTGCTACACTAAGACTCCAATGGCATACTTGTTGTTGTCAGGTGCCATTGAGTCGGAACCAACTCATAGCGACCCCATGCACAGCAGAACGAAACAATGTCCGATCCTGGGCCAACCTCACTACCGCTGCCACACTTGACGCCATCAATGATGCCACCTGGCTGATCCATCTCATTGGAGGTCTTCCTTTTTTTCTCTTACCCTCCATCTTGACATCGTTCTCCAGTGACTGTTCCCTCCTGACAATAACAATTTCTTTTGCCCGGTGCAGTCCCCAGGAAGAGGTGACCTACAGCTAGGCTCAGAGGTTAGAGAAGGGCTCTAGACCTAGGGAAGGCAGGGCAAGGGCCTACTCCATTGACTCCTGGCTCAGGACCATCCTGGACATACCCAGCTTCTGCTGAAAAGGGAATCCTGAGACCAGGAGCAGGTCCAGCACAGAACCAAAAGACAAGACCACATTTTGCAGCTTTGGGGGAAGAATGAGGAAGTAAGGAATGAACCTGTGCCCACTCTTCACAGCGCTAACCCTAGCTGCTTTAATTTGACTCTTAGCCACATCCTCCACTTAAAGTCATTCCTACCACCCAAATCCTGCCTCAATTTTCTTGGCATCACTCTCTACAGAGTCCTTGAGCGTTACAAATAAGTAATATGTTCTGCTACTTGTTGGGAGCGACTGAGCCAAAGGTCTCTGACTTAGGGGTAGTTTAACCGAAGGATTGCAACTGAACAGTTGTGGTCCAGAAACTCAAGCTGCACCCAAGTCAAGCTGCCCCCTGAGGAACTTGCAGGGCTGCCTCAGGGGACAGGGAACTTGCAAGGTCTTTCCTTGTACACAGCTATGACCTTCAGCTTAGTCTGCACAAACAACACCAGATGTTCTTGCACTCTTTTCCCTGTCCCAAGCACCTCCCTTTGTTATGTGTATAAAATAAACTTGCTTCATTTGGTCTGGGCCACAGTATCTCCATCAGAGTGCTGCATCCCACCTGGTCTAACTTTACTTCATTCATTTGTGTCTTGTGTCTTCCTTTTCTTTCTAATCTCCCGTTGCCCCTACTTGGGTTTAATCTCTCCATGCTGGACACAGAGAATAGCCAAAGCCGGATGTGGCAGCTACTAACTAAAACTTTGGAGGAGGTTCAAGTCCACCCAGAGGTGTCTCAGAAGAAAGAATTGTCAATGTACTTCTGAAAATCCAATCATTGAAATATTTATGGAACACAGTTCTACTCTGATATGCATTGGGACATCATGAATGGAAACTGGCTAGATGGTAACTGGTTCACTCTCTAGAGAACCACACCCACCTTTGTATATATAGTAAATATACAACTAAGTAAAAGCTTGTTATGTGTAGCTCTAAGATGTTTCCCTACCCACAAAGAACAACCCTTAAACCCTCTCAATGTTGAAATTTGGAGGCTTTCTTTTCCTTCACTGCTCATGGCTCCACTGGAAGCAGGCACAGGGCCCCCTCTTTTAGAAGTAGAGGCTGAGCCAAGGAGAATTCTCTGGAATTCTCCTTGGAGAATTGGCCAGCATTGGCTGACAGCTGAAGCCCCAGCTCCAAGGAGAAGGTCCAGAGTTTTGTATGAAGCTGAAGGAGATCTAGGGAGAGAAAAAATCCTCCTGAGACCTCAAGGTGGCTAACAGTGGAGGGAGATGGAAAAAGGCAGACAAGGAACTTGCCATGGAGGAGAAAATAGCCTTTACTAAGGAGGCTGAATTTTACATGAGTCCCTGGAGGAAAGAATACTCCAGGTTGGGACTCTACAGCACAATTCTGGTGCTAATGGCAGAAGAGGATGAGGTCGGAGCTTACTGGTCTAGCCAGACATCCTGATGCAGGCAGCCAACCAGCAGAAGGAGAAGGGGAGGTGTGGGGATGTTGGAATCTAGCCATCTGAGCCTCAGTTCTACATTCCCCATCCTGTTTCCTGTCCTCAAAGACACAAGCATTTTGTCTACCGATCCAGCTTTCATCCTGTATCTTACCTTCTCAAAATGTGGATGAAGACACCACCAGGGCAATCCACCTAGTGATGCTTTGCCAGTTTTAGCCAGAGTTTCCATCCCTGTGATGTCGTTACCTTGCTGGCAATCGGAGGTTGAAGATTGGAGACAGTCCCCCCAGTGCAAGCCTCATGATGGCCTGGAGTTTTCTGGCCAGGGACTAGCACCTCCTCCCCATCTATCTCCAGCAGCACCATGTTTCCGTTGATCTTCACTTCCACCTGTAGGAAGGAGGAGAGATGCAGAATCAGGGGCTCTGGGGTCTACTTTTACCACTTTCTTCTGAAACAGTCTAATGTAGTAGAAAGACCATTAACTTTAGGAGTTAGTTGGCAATAGAATTGAGAGTCCAGAAATGAACCAACACATCTCTGGTCAACTGGTTTTTGACAAGGGTGCTAAGTCCACATGATGGGAAAGAAGAGCCTTCTAAATAAATGATACTAGTGAAATTGGATTTCCACATACAAAAAAAAATGCAACAGAAACTTTGCCTCACATATACAAAAACAAATTTTAAATGGACAAAGAGCCTAAACGCGTAAATTTTTGTTGTTGTTGTTAAATGCCATTGAGTCCTTTCCAACCCACAGCGACCCTGTATAGGGTTTCCCAGGAGCAGCTGTTGAGCTTGGACCACTGACCTTGCAATTCATAAAATCATACAATTCTCCCCTCTAAGACTGAAACTCAAAGGGGACACATGAGCAGGCATGTAAGCTTGCTGATAACCACATTGGTCTACTGGTGAGTGGAAGAGGGGGACGGGGCAGCAATGAAGAAATGGGCTGAGTTCAACCGTGTTCCATACACTCCTGTTGACCAGGAGAGGAGAGAGAGAAGAGGAAGGGCTGATTGGTCCAAAGTGTGGTGAGATCTGGGGACATAGCTACAGAGGGTGTCGGGGTTTGCCCTCGACATAGTTGTCACGAGTGTTTGGTTCACGAGGAGGGGAGATCCAGCGGCGATAGGGATAGCGAAAGAATACACAGACAAACAGAAGAAGGAAGACAATGAGGCACCCCAAAGCCAGGGTGGATACATCACTGGTGGGCAGGCTTGGGACTACAGGCATCATGGCCTCCGCAGGCAGCAACTCACTGCCCTGCAATCTTTACTGCATGCCTTCCAACCCGTAATGCACCGCAATCTTTACTCCATGCCTCCCAACCAGCAATGCACAACTGGGGAGGCCCGGGCCTCTGCTTTATTTAGGGGAGGAGTTTCACACCAAGCTGGGAGGGACTTAGGCAAGGTACAGCTAACATCAGTACTTTTCCAGACATTCAGGTAACTTTACATCATACTTCACTGGTTCGAATCCCAGGCCAGCAACTTGGATTCTCAGGCCCAATTAACATATCTATAGCCCCTGAGGTCAGTTGGGGGAAGGTGAGAGTTCTGCAGGAGATGCCCAGGTGAATGGGCTGCACCTGGAAAAGGGATTAGGGAGGATGGGTTCTTTGTCTATAGAACAAAGAACCGAGAAGTAGCTAAGATATTTTTAGTTAATCCTTTGGAGAAAGGTTTAACCTTGCAACCTTTAGTCTCGGCTTTAGGAAAATATCACATTTATCTGTGGATTTTCAAAGGCTCCAGTGTATTAATTTAATATATATACCTGAATATTAAGATGAAAGCAATTTTCCATTAACTGCCAGTGGCCTCATTTGTTACACTCAGCCCTAGAGGGCCTCGAACCTCTGACTAGTCTTACACGGTCTGCAACAAGAGGGCTAGAGCTGAGAGTGAAGCATCCAGCTGATACGAAGTGAGGGGAGACACACAAGAACACCCAAACTTGCAGATAGTACCCATTTGACCTAGCCTCGATGGCTTAATAATCAGAACCCAACTAGAGGAAGATACAACAACAACAAAAACAATTTTTTTATAAAGGAAATGAGGGTAAATTGCTATAATTTGATGAACTTGACCTATACTCATGGAATAACTCTAAATACCAACAGAGAGGGAAGGAGTCTTCACATCAAGTATCAATGCTATCCCCTTTGTATACAGGGTAGATAGGGACGAGCAACTTAGACATTGGCTACCTAAAATAAGGAGGTGATAAAGGCACAAAGTGACTGGCTTACAAGGTTTCAAGAGAGAGTTTAGTTTAAGAGTGTGTGGGGAAGATAGAGTCCCCACTGAACAGTTTTCATCATGTCTAGATGAGTCTGATTAAAAGAGATGGGGATGTAAGTTGCTCGCCCAGGAGACATCAAGATAAGTGGTCAGGTCCTCTCAGGGTAAGCCCCCTTCCAAGACTAAGACTCAATGGGAATACACGAGCAGACATGCACTGACTGGTAACCAATCACTGGTAAGGGAAAAACAACAATGAAGCTGTGAGCTAAACCCTACTACAATGTTCAAAATACTCCTGTGAACCTGGCTGGAGACCTGGTTGTCTAGCAGTGTGACAAGACCTGGGGACTCCCTGGGCCCAGAGTCAGTGACATAGCCATACAGAGTGTAGAGTGAAGCATCCAGCTGATAAGAAGAGAGGGCATATGCACAAGAACATCCACACTTGTAGATAATATCCACTTGACCTGACTTCAATGCCTGGATGATCAGAGCTCAACTAGAAGAAGAAAGAAGAGGGAAAAAAAAAGAGTAATCTAATACAATTTGATGAACTTGACCTACACCTATGGAGGCAGTAGCTCAAAAGAGGGAACAAATCTTTACAACAAGGATCATTTCCACCCCCTTGATACACAGAGTAGACAGTATGTGCAACTTGGACATCGGCTACCCAAAATGCGGGGTTAGGGGTGGAGGGGTGGATTACAAAGGCAAGAAGTGACTGGCTTACAAGCTTTCAAGAGGGAGCCTAGATCCAGAGGATGCGGAGGAAGGTAGAATCTCCACTGAGTAGTATCTAATCTGTCTGGGTGGGGCTGATGAAAAGAGATGGGGATAGCACTCATGTGGTACAATAGTGAATAATTGCTATCAGGACTGACAGTGAGGGTTGGAAATGTAAAGGTAGACATTTGTAGCAAAAGGAGGGGAGTGATTGACTTTGCAGTCTAGGAGCAGAGGTCCCTGGGACCATCAAGGGAGAAGAGTGGAGTGTGGGACCCTACCCAGAGAAACAGTGATACCAGAGATGGAGGCAGAGACAATGATGTGGAGAGATGGAGCAGCTGGGGACTCTAGACCCAGAAAGGAAGAGGGCTGTGTGCTGAAGACCAGGGGACAGGCTTGCAGGGTAAACCCTTTAGTTGGTTGATGATGCATGGAGGGGATTGTAACCATGGCAATGAAACAATATATGATAGGATGAATGTAAAGCTAATGTTCTCCCATGTAAACTATCACATAATTCACAATAACACATTTAAAAAAAAAGAGACATGGGGATAAGATTCTTATGATTCAATAGTGAGTAATTGTTATCATGACTAATTGCAACTGTCACAATTGTAAAGGTAGAAATTTTGTAGCAAAAACGGGGGCCCAGTTAATCTTACAGTCTAGAAACAAAGGATCCTAGGACCATCAAGGAAGAAGAGCACAAGTAGAATGTGAGACCTTATCCTGAGAAGCAGCCACACCAGAGATGGAGGCAGAGATGGGGACATGGAGAGAGGGAGCAGCTGAGGACTCTAGATTCATGGGAAGACAGGGAGTAAGAGCTGGCGGCCAGGAGACAAACTTGCAGAATGTGGCCCCCTTTGGTGGTGTAAATTATTATATATGCCTGAGTGTTAAAAAAAAAAAAAAAGCTAAAGGAGAGAAATGCTGTTAACTGTTGGTACATGAAGGGGATTATAATCATTGTACTGAAACAAAGTATACGATGTGTTGAATGTAAAACTGATGATCTGCCCTGTAAACTTTCACTCAATTCACAATAAAAAATTTTGTTTTAATTAATTAATTTTTAAAAAATCATACAGTTCTTAGACTAAGCAGGGACAAGGCTATCAGGGTTACTTTTCAACAATGGATAATATAATATAATAACAAAAACACAAAGAGCAAAAGACAAAATAAATCAATGGGACCTGTGAATTTACTTGATAAGACTTTCTATTCTGCGTCATAACTTTCACCAAATGATTTGGTTGTTGTTGTTAAAGTGCTGTAGAGACTGTTCTGACATATAGCAACCCGGTATAAGGTGTCCGAGGAGCAGCTGGTGGGTTTGAACAGCTGACAATGTGGTTAGCAGTCCAGTGCTAATACTACAGTGCCGTACCAGGACTCCAATGATTGGGTGTTGTTGTTGTCAAGAGCCATTGAGTCGGTTCTGACCATAGCAACCCTTTATGGGCTGAAGCAAAGGTCAAGGGACTGTGTGGCAGAGGCTGAGAATGAGAGAAAGATGTGTCTTTAGTATGGCTAAGAAGAGCTTCTTCTGACCAGAGAACTGCTGGATCCTAAGTTGTTTCTGATTCTAAATTGTACCCTGTTGGACTCATAACCATAAGGTCAGCAGTTCAAATCCACCAGCCTCTCTGAGAAAGAAGGATGAAGTTTTCTACTCTGGTAAAGATTTTTAGTCTTGGAAACCCTATACAAGCTTGTGAGATGGAACCAACTTGATGGCACACAACTACCAATCAACTTCTCTAATAAATCCCATAATTGTGAGTATCATCTGTGAGTTCTGTATCATTGTTGCAAAGGATTATGGAACCCAGCAGAGAAGTCGAGAGTGCTGTGGAGGGGTAGGTGGTGTCAGAATAGGATAAAGAAGGTTGGAGGGTAGAGGTTTGTCTGACCTCTGCCTCATAAGAATGAGCCTTGGGCTGATGTATTTGATTCTCCTTCCCTCTTGTGCAGTCCGAGGAAGTCAGACATGACCTCCACATCATTTTTTGGCAGACTTCATAAAAATTATAAACTTTAATTCATCGAAAGACTTTACCAAAAGAATGAAAAGACAAGCTACCAACTGAGAGAATATCTTTGGAAACCATATATCCAACAAGAATCTAATAGCCAAGAAACATGTAAGTTAAGTAGAAAAACCAAAAATAAACCAGTCTGAAAAGAAACATTTCACCAAAGAGGACATTCAAATGGCCACCAAACATGAAAAGATGCTTAGCATCATTAGGCACCAGAGAGATGCAAAGCAAAACCACAATGGAATATCATTTCACTTCCACTAAGATGGCCAAGATTTTAAAAAGAAATAAAAATGAAACAAAAACAAAATAACAAATGTTGGCAAGGATGTGGGGAAATTGAAACCCTTCTCCATTGCTGCTGGGAATGCAAAATTATATAGTTGCTATAGAAAACAGTGTGGCGGTTTCTAATTTAAAAAAAAGGAATTACCAACTACCATGGTGGTGGTGGTTATGTGCCATGGAGTTGGAACTGACTCATAGCGAGGGTACCCTGTTCAGGGTTTCCAAGGCTGTAGATCTCTACGGGAGCAGAAAGCCTCATCTTTCTCCCGCAAAAAAAATGGTAGTTTTGGAACTGCTGACCTTGTGGTTCGTAACCCAATTCATAGCCACTACGCTACCAACTACCATATGACCCAGCAATTTCACTCCTAGGTATATATCCTAGGACTCAAAAAGAGACTTGTACACCAGTGTTCATTGCTAGACTATTCACAATAGCCAACAGGTGGAAACAACTAAATAAATGTCCATCAACATATGAATGGATACACAAAACGTTGTACAAATATATAATAGAATACTACTCAGTCAGTAGGAGAAATGAAATCTTGATATATGCATGCTACAGTATGGATAGAGTTCGAAGGTTTTATGCTGAGCAAAGGAAGAAAATCACAAAAGGACAAAAATTGTATGACCTCATTTATATAAAAAGACATAAGATGACAAATGTATAGAAACCAATGTTTATTAGTGGTTCCCAGGGGGAAAAGATAGTAGGGGAAGGAGAATTAACAACAAAGGAAAAATCACAGTGATTAAGGGTAAAGTTGAACAGCCCACATTGTAAATGTTGTCAATTACAATGGTTGGCTGTTGGCTATAAAAAATTGAATTGACAAAAGTTGTGTGATAAATCTATTTATAAAAACAACAAAAGTAGAGTACCTGCTGAGGCTGTTATATACAGCCAAACACTTCACGGGATTTGGTTCTTTAGTTTGGAGGTTTGCGGTCATGGTTTCATGGTTGTTTTTGTTGTTGTTACATCCCAGTTAATTGGCCTAATGACTTGTGCTGTGTCCTAGTTTGTTGTGTAGAGTCTGGGATTTTAAAAGCTTGTAAGCAGTCATCCAAGGCACAATTGGTTTCTACTCACCTGGAACAACAAAGGAAGAAGTAAAGTCAGGAATAGGACCAGGAGGAGGATTTGGAACATGTAGCCTATTGTCTTCGTGAACAACTGCCTCCTTTGCCATGAGACCAGATGAACTGGATGGAGCCCAGTTACCATTACTGAACATTTTGATCAAAGATTCCATTGAAGAATCCTGATCAAAAGGGGAAAAAATGCAGAAGGGAATTTAAAATTTTTATGGACTCTAGTCTTTCTAGAGCCATGAAAAATGGATGAATCCCTGAAATTCTCTCCCTGAGATATTTTAAACATTTTTAAACAAAAATATCCCATGAAATCTGAAAACAGAACAATAGTTTATGTAAACTGCTAAAAGTTTTTTTTTTTTTTTAAAGGTCTGCCTTAAGCATTCTTCTCTTTTAAGTACTATCCTGTACATGGGATTAAATTGACAACAGTCATTGAAATACAAGATAGAAACCATAGAGGGGAGTACGTTTATGTTAATGAGGGCGAGACAACTCAGGAAAGCAGGATGAGAATGGTTACACATCTTGAAGAATGTAATCAATGTCACTAAACTGTACATGTAGATGCTATTGAATTGTATGTTTTGTTGCATATATTGTCAACAACAAGGAAGTAAATAATTTAAAGTTTAAAAAAAAAGTCAGCTGGCATCCTTGGCTCATGCAGGCCTTGTCATTTACATGTAGACTGAGTTTCAAAGTTCCCATGTAAACAATGGGAACAAGACTAGCTACTTTATGGGGGCATCATGTGGATTAGATGATAAAGGGATGTCTAATAACTCGATTGTATTCTCCTTCGTTGGACAGCTCAAAGACCAATGCTATATTACCTAGTGTCACCTTCCATCATCCAGTGGGGCCCAGTGTTGACTATAAATTGGGTTCAGTGATTGTGCAATTAGATCTCAGGACCACTATTCTGAAGTCCCAGCATAAACCAGTTATCCTTAGGGTTGTTGTAGTTAAGTGCCACTGAGTCAGTTTCGACTCATAGTGACCCTGATATAGAGTTTCCAAGGTACATCTTTGTAGGAGTAGAAAGCCTCAACTTGCTCTCAAGGAATGGTTGGCGAGCTTGAACCACCCAGCAAGTGGTTCACAGTCCAATGCTTGTCCTACAGAGCTACCACACTCTTATCCTTAAGGTTGGTATCCCCATAAAAAAATCACTACCTCTGGATGCCACGTCTGTAGCTCAAAGGAGGAGGAGGAGGTCCTGGAAGGACATAGAACAAAGAATTATGTATGAATGTGCTCTTCCAGAGCAAATATGGGCCTGGGGGAAGCAAACTTCAGAAAGAAAGGACAGAGAAAGAGGGAAAGGAGAAGAGCTGATGGAGAAAGAAGATAGGATTAGAGGACTGGATCAAGGGTTTTGGGTTGACTCCATACTTTGAGATCTTGGTACCATCAAAGGTCATGATAGTGACAGACTTATGTCCTGAGTCATTCCTGCGATGCAGGGCAGGAAAGTTCTGGAACCTGTATTAGAAAGAGAAAAAATTTAAAGCTGGTACAAGGACAGATACAGTCAGACACACAGAGAAGCCCTGATATAGGGTCAGAGGAGGAGAGAAGGGAAGAGGCTACAGTCAAAGTGTTATTTTTGTTAGGTCCCATCAAGTTGGTTCCAACCCATAGCAACTCTATGCACAACAGAACAAAACACTGTCCAGTCCTGCGTCATCCTCACAATCACTGTTATGCTTGAACCAAAGTGTAGCTCATTTAAATACATAGGTTAAGTGCCCTGTCTCACTCCGGCACCTGTGTGAGGAGTAGAGTTCTCATGGCCAGTCCCTAATGAGTGTGAGTTGGGAGCAGCAGCTGATGCGCCATAGCCCATGTGTCTCTGACCTCCACAGTCCACGATGTTCTTTCCTGTGGCTCAGAAAACTCTAGGGAGACTATGTGGGGATAGAGGAAGTTATACACAGAAGTAGTGGACAATTAAAAGTTACCTGGCAGAAGAAAGGGGTGATAGGAGAAAAAGGCAGGAGACACGGGCTCCCTTTGGAGTCAAATGGGAGGAAGGGGCAGAATCCTCCACTACCCTCCCCATTGCAGAGACAAGTTATAAGCTTGGAGAGGGCATCCTATTTCTCCTCCCCACCTGTAGAACCTGGCCTACAGTCCTCTACACCTTCTGCTCTCCAACAGGCCTGAGGTCTGGAAACAGTCCTGGATTGCTCCTAAAGAAGCATCTCCATTAGGGCAAGAGCTGAAACAGCACACCAAACATTCAGCTAAAAGTCATGTCACCTTTGAGCTTCAGTGTCTTTATCTGTGAAATAGGTGAAATAATAATTCCTTTAAGGGGTTACTGTGAGTGTTAATTGATATAATGCATACACAATGCCTCTTGTCTAGTCTGAGCACCTCCCTCAGTATTTTCCCAGGCCTTAGAGGCTTGCTTCACAGGGAGGTAGTACTTTTTGTTACTGTTGTTGTTGTTAAGTGCCTTCAAGTCGGTTCCGACCCATAGCGACCCTGTACAGGGTTTCCGAGGGAGTAGAAAGCCTCATCTTTCTCCCGCGGAGCAGCTGGTAGTTTCGAACTGCTGACCTTAAGGTTCGCAGCCCGATTCATAACCACTACACTACCAGAGCTCCTTACTTTTTGTTACTATTTAGTGAATATTTTCCCCGCTCCTTGTCCCTGCTCCCAAAGATCTCCCCATATCCATGTGTTGAGGGGTCCTGTCAGGCATTCCACAGAAGATGTTGCAGGGTGCGTCCCCAAAGATTACAGACCTGGAAACTCTATGGGCCGTTTTACTCTGTCCCAAGGTGACTGAGTCAGAATCGAAAAGATGGCAACAGGTTTGTAGGTTTTTTTTTTTTTTTTTTTAATCCTTTTTGTTACAAGGCCTTACATTCTACCAGGGGAAACCTATTAACTGCTCTTTGACCTGTTTAAAAATCCAAATCGTCCACAGAGAGGTAACACTCTGAACAAGTTTTCAGAGTTGGGAGTCTTAGGGCTCAACCAAAGTGTGGGGGAGAGAAGAAAGAGTTAAGCAGGTATCTACTGCGCTACAGGATAATCCACTGGACTGCAAGATTGGTTTGAACGCAAGATCGGCCGTTCAAACCCACTAGCCGCTCCTCAGAAGCCCTATAAAGGGTCCCTATGAGTTGGAACCGACTAGACAGCACTTAACAAGTATGTACTTCAATTAAAGAAGAGGAGGGATGTCTTTGGGAGTCATTGAATTTATGTTAATGGTAGTAAAATATTTTGGAAAATAATAGCAGTATTGGCGGCACGACATAAAAAATGTAATCAATGTAATTGAGTATCAAATTTGGAAATTGTGCTGACAAATATGTTTAGGTGTGTATATTTGCACCACAGTAAAAAAAAAATTTTTAAATGATAGGGCAGGGTCACTTCTGAGCAGTGGGGTGTCTCTGATTGAGGCTGGTACACACAGATATCAGCAGAGATAAAACCTCCGCAGTCCAACCTTGATCCCGGCCAGAGAACCCAGTCACAAGACCAGGCCACTAGGGGCGGGGCCCGGGATCGGGGAATGTGCCTACTCTGCATGTTGATTGGTTGGCGGATGTGCGTCCGCTAGGGTAGAATTTCGGGGGTTTCACAGACGTGAAGACCACCCGGGCCAAGCCCTCCACCCGGTCGCCTCATCTTCGGAATCCGACTTCCGCCTCCCAGACGCGAACAGGACCGCATCTCAATCCGGCATTCCACCCTCTCCGGATTTTCGGAATATAGGCTTGTAGGCCCCTTAAAGGGTCCCAGTTGTCCTTCACCCAAACCTATAGAACGGAAGTGTGGGTCGTGGACTTTGGGTCAGACCGTGGGGACCAGGATGGCTTCCGTGCGAATCCGAGAGGCCAATGAGGGAGACTGTGGAGACATTCTGAGACTGATTCGGGTGAAGGCCACGGGAAGCCAGAGTCCCAGAGGGGGGCTAAGCGGCGCCGCCCGAGGTGGAGGTTGGGTGGACAGAGAGGAGGGCGGCCTTGGGGCCCCGTTCGGGGATCAGCGGGGCTCTGCTGTCCTCATGTAGCCTCTGTTCCCCACTCCCTAGGAACTGGCTGAGTACGAAAAGCTCTCGGATCAGGTGAAGATCAGTGAAGAAGGTGGGGTCTTGGCACCTGGGTACTGAAAGAGGTTGTGGGGAAATGAGGGACTGTTTGCATTCGAACTCCAGGGTGGGCACACAGTCAGGCCGTTTCTCTGTTTCCTGTTAAAATCTTAATCTGCAGCTCTGCGAGCAGATGGTTTTGGAGAGAATCCTTTCTATCACTGTGTGGTGGCAGAGATTCCTCCAGCTCACGGTGAGCCACAAGGTAGGATTACCTGTACCTCAGGCACCCACCTCAGAGGCCTTTCAACCACACTCCTGGAGGTTTTACCCTTCTTTTCTCTTTCTCAGGGGCCCGTGTGGTGGGCTATGGGCTCTACTACTTCATCTACAGCACATGGAAGGGACGCAATGTGTATCTGGAAGATATCTACGTGATGCCAGAATATAGGGGTAATGAGCAGAGGCTTAGGCTGGGGTGGGAGTAAGCAACCCATGGACCCCACCACAGCCCCTACCAGCCTACGGTGTTTTCTGATCACATTCAACTCAAGCAACTACTCTTTCTTCCCATAACAGGTCAGGGAATTGGTTCCAAAATAATAAAAAAGGTGGCTGAGGTAAGGAAGACAGTAAGGGTCTCTAGGATGGGAATTATAAACTAGGCTCTGGAGAAGCAATGGGGTCATCTGGATTAAAAGGGATAAGAAAGCCTTTTCCTTTGACTCCAGAAAAGTGAATGATTTCTTCTCCCACAGGTGGCCTTGGATAAGGGCTGCTCCCAGTTTCGCCTGGCAGTACTGGACTGGAACAAGAGGGCCATGGACCTATACAAGGCTTTAGGAGCCCAAGATCTGACTGAAGCTGAGGGTTGGCATTCCTTCCGCTTTGAAGGAGACACCATGAGGGAGTTGGCAAGAAAGTGATGCCATCCCTTGGGAATCTCTCTCAGACTGGGCTCCTCCTTCCCCACTAGCTCAAACACATCTTAGATACTATCTCCACAGCCAGAGGCTTATCTGCAGAAAACACGGTTGTACTGAAAGACCAGAATTGAGGGAGAGGCTTTTCTACCTTTTTGTTGAGAGTGAAAAATAAATGATTACTACTATGGCCTCTTGTAGTTTTGGCTAGAGGGGTTGATAAAATGATACACTTCAATCAGTTCAAATCCCTTTCTCAGTGTTAACTACCAGTGAATGTTGATCCTGGGGATAAGTCTGGACCCAGCTTGACTTTCATTCTCAGCAGACTGAAGTCTTGGCTCTGGCCAATTGAGTATAAGGAAAAGAAAAGCTAAGTGGACTGAATTTAAAGAGCTCCAGAGGGGACCAACTTGGCACATCAGTCTATCTTTCTCGTTTGGGACCCAGACAAAGGCTTCAAATGTCCGAATAGAGCTGTGCCTAGATCCAGGACTGAGGCAGGCAGAGGACTAAGTGGAAAAGACTGCCACCTAGTGGTGGCACTTCAGGGGTACTTGTTAGTGCTCTCTAGTTGGGAGTCTTAAGGCCCAGTGTAGGGTTTCCTAGGAGCAGCTGGTGAGTTTGAACCTCCAACTTTGTGATTAAAACTGACCTTGTGGTCCAGTGCATTATACTGCAGCTCCACACCAGGACTCGGGAGTACTGGGAAGGAGCAATTGCTACAACTAAAAATCAACTCAGCCAACGAATGCTTTTCTTTTCAGTGTGACACACCCTATAAAAAAGTTGTTGATGAGTGCCATCGAATTGACTCTGCATAAGGTTTCTGAGGCTGTAAATCTTTGTGGGAGCAGAAAGCCTCATCTTTATCCTGGGGTGTCTGGTAGACTCGACTTCATGGTTCCCAGTTCAATGCTTATTCTGTGGCACTACCACATTCTCCTACAAAAGAATAGAATTCAACAAAATCAAAACAAATTTAGGATCTATGAGGAAAAGGAGAAAAATAGGTTCATTTTCTCCTAATTTTGATGACATTTTATGATACAAGTAATGCAAGTTGGTTACAGAAATATTGGAACATATACGTAAAATAAAGAGTCCATGTTGTTAAGTGCTATAGAATAGGTTCCGACTCAGCAACCCTGTATAGGGTTTCCATGGAGCTGCTGGTGAATTTGAACCACCACAGAGCTTGCAGTTCACACTGACCTTTGGTCCAGTGCATTAGCCCACAGCGCCACATCAGGACTCCAAAGAATCCATGTTGTTGTGAAGTGCCGTCGAGTCGGTTCCAACCCATAGTGACCCTGTATAGGGTTTCTAAGGAGAGGCTGGTGAGCTTGAACCACCAACCTTGCAGTTCAAATGGCTTTGCAGTCTTGTGCATTAACCCACAGAACCACACCGAGACTCCCCATTGTTGTTGTTAAGTACCACG